TCACAGGCACATGTTCCTTCCAGGTACAGGTGTTCCTCCTCTGGATGATATGTAGCTGTGTCCTTTAAGAGCAAGCACCCAGACCTCCTCGTGGTCTGGGTGATAAAGAGGCGTCACAGGCTGTCAGTTCCTCCTGAGGCCTTTCGTGCTAAGGCACATCTTCAGAGGGGATACCGAAGGTGGTTGTGATCATCTTCAGTGCTATTAGCTGCTTACTTGATTATTCTATTAGTAGCGCTCACTTTATTACATATTTATTTGTCTTTACTGTATGTTCTTGACCAAACTATGGTGCTGCAGTGGAATTTAGGGGCCTTGTTGTGATTTCTAGCAGTGGTACCTTGATGACAAGAATGACACGATTTTCCAATTCTTTTTCATATAAAACAACTTTCAACTTTTTATATTAGCTGCTTGCCTGGTGTTTTGGGATTTTGTTCATCTTAGCAGTTGCAAAAGTCCACAGCTTGAAGCCCCTATTTTTCCCCTTCTCTCCTTATTTATTCTGATTTAGTCTCAGTCATTTTCTCAAAAAACTATATGGAAAATTTCCAATGTATCAATAGTAGCAGCTCAAGATTAAAAAATGATAAAGTTGAAGTAAGGAATCACCTATATGTCATAGACCTAAAAAACATGAATTAAGCTTGGAATAATTAGGGAGCTCACCAGTGTGAGTGACCCACCAGGTTTTGGGCACCTTGTAGAGTGTTAGCTGGGTGCCATGTGCTCAGGAGCTCCCTGCTTTCCAACACCTGACACTGAAATGAAACTGATATTGTCAGTATCTCAGCCGACATCTGAAGTATTATCCTGGCCCGATGTCATCAAGAAGAGAGAACTGCAAGGGGGCAGGTGGACAAGCACTGGGGGGGGGGGGGGGTTAACAGCACTGCCACTTATCACAAATGCAGGGAGGGGGGCTAATTAACACTTCCATTGACCACCAATGAATGTTGGAGGTGGGGAGGGGGGTTAACAGCAGTGCCACTGATCATCAAATTGTGTGGGTGTCAATAGCACTGCTACTGACCACCAATGCAGATACAAAGGAGTTAATTAATAATATATCTGACCACCAATATATGTGTGTGGTTAATAGCCCTGCTACTGAAAACCAAGGCAGACACAAAGGAGTTAATTAATACTGTCGCTGACCACCAATATGTGTGTGTGGGAGGGTTAATAGCCCTGCTACTGACAACCAAGGCAGACACAAAGGAGTTAATTAATAATATATCTGACCACCAATATGTGTGTGGTTAATAGCCCTGCTACTGACAACCAAGCAGACACAAAGGAGTTAATTAATACTGTCGCTGACCACCAATATGTGTGTGTGGGAGGGTTAATAGCCCTGCTACTGACAACCAAAGCAGTGGAAAAGGGATAAATTAACACTGCAACTGACCATCAATGCAGGAAGGGGGCTGGGGAGGGGGGTTAACGGCAGTGCCACTGACTACATAGCACCGCCACTGAGCACCAATGTGGGGTCATTATTGCAGTCACTGACACTAATGCTGGGGTTACTATTATGGCGGGTTGTGGGGTTATTATTGCAGCAACTGACGCATGCTGGGGGCTGTTGTTGTGGTCAGTGACATAAATGCTGGAAATTATTGCGGTCAATGCCGCCAATGCTAACAATTATTATTATGGTTACTGACACCAATGTAAGAGGTTAATGTGTCCATTGACATCAATGCAGGGGTTATTATTGCTAGCAGTGACACCATTGCTTAGTTTTTTTATTACATCCAGTGACACCAACAATGGAGCTTATTCTATTCCCACTTTCTCTCCAGTGTGCACTGAAATAAAAAATACAGCAGGTTTGGCATTTTCAGGTGTTGAGGTATGTTGCACAATAATGAACTAGAAGTCAGCATGCCAAATAAGTTTTATAGTTTACATGTTTTTTTTAAATATATTTTCAACATTCGTATAAGTTGTATGAGGGCCTATCTCATCCTATCTGTGGGATTTGACTTGATAAAGGGAACCTGCTCCCTAAAAGACTCCCCATTTTTTCACCTCCACCTGCCACCCAGTGTCCTGCTTTTCCTAATCTTGTGTACAGCAACTCTATTTTGTAACAGTTCTTATACAGGAAATTCACAACATGTGCTGACTATATGATGTGAATTTTACTGCACTTTGTTTGTGAGCTAGTCTAAGTATAGTTCAGCAACGGTGATTTTGACTATTTTTGTGCAATATGTATATTGAACGTTTATTGATCTTTAAAGTATGTAAAAACATGTGAACTATAAAGCCTGTTTGGTGTGCTCACATATATATATTTATTTATTACAGGTAAGGTGACAGACCCAACCATATTGTACATTCACATCAGCCCCTGCCTTCAAAAAGCTTACAATCTAAGGTCCCTAATGCACATTCATACATACACATACTAGGGCCAGTTTAGATAGGAGCCAAATAACCTACCAGCATGTCTTTGGAGTGTGGGAGAAAACTGGAGTACTCAGAGGAAAACCACGCAGGCACAGGGAGAACATGCAAACTCCATGTAGGTAGTGCCATGGTTGGGTTTCAAACCAATGACTGCTAGGCTTATATATAAACTTTCTAATTGTGTATCACACCATAACACCTGAATATTTTGATCATGATGTAATTTTTTGAGCAATGAACACTTAAGAAAAAGTGTAAGTAAATAAGCCCTATTGTTGGGATCAATGGCAGTATTGGTAACTTCCAGCATTGCTCATTCTGGCCACCATAGTGACTCCCAGTATTGGTGTCAGTGGACACAATAATGACCCCAGCATGGATGTCAGTATTGTAAATGTTGGGGACATATCTTAAGGAAGTGCTCATTACAACACTATTATATATTACATGTTGGGTGTGCATTTACCCCTTGGATATACTATGTGAGGTGTGTTACAGCACCAACTCAAAACAATGCATTTTAATGCATGAAAAGTTGCTTTTGTGCAGCCCTCTGGAAGTGACAGGGGCCACACATGAGGCCCTCATTAATTTTCAAGTTGACCAGCACTGATAGCTTGTGAGCTAAAGCACAGTCACAATATAAGGAATGAGGTTGAGGTGTGCTGCTAGCATGTGTGAGAAAGGATTTCTACGATGTCCTGGTGACTTACACTCACTGGCCACTTTATTAGGTACACCTGTTCAATTGCTTGGTAACACAAATTGTTAATCAGCCAATCACATGGCAGCAACTCATGCATTTGCATTTGCAATGCAAGTGTGGTGAAGATGACTTACTGAAGTTCAAACCAAGCATCAGAATGAGGGAAGAAAGGGAATTTAAGTGACTGTGAACGTGGCATAGTTGTTGATACCAGACAGACTGGTCTGAGTATTTAAAAAACTGCTGATCTACTGGGATTTTCAGGCACAACCATCTCTAGGGTTCACAGAGAATGGTCCAAAAAAGAGAAAATATCCAGTGAATGGTAGTTGTGTGGATGAAAATGCCTTGTTGGAGTCAGAGGAGAATGAGCAGACAAGATCATAGAAAGGCGACAGTAACTCATGTCAATATGGACCAAAATCTCTGAGGAATGTTTCCAACACCTTGTTGAATCTGTGCCATGAAGAATTAAGGCAGTTCTGAAGGCAAAACGGAGTCCACCCCCAGTATTAGCAAGGTGTACCTAATATAGTGGCCGGTGAGTGTATGTGCTGGTCTGCCTGAAAGAAATTTTAAAGATCATAAAGCTCTGCATGGCCTTTGAACTATAAATGGCCATAAAGAGGCCTTTGGCTAAGCCATCCTCTCCTTATAAAAGTTGTAGGGCACAAAGCAGCCATAGTCTCACTGCTTTTATTGGAAGCTGCAGTTGGGAAGGGAAAGGGAAAGCGGACAAACTGCAAAGGGAGAGATTAAGGTCAGTTAGGGTTATTTTTTTTCCTTCATAGTTTTGGGGGCTTGTTTGTCTTTCATATTATTCTGGGGCTGATCCAAGGTCATCTTTTTTAGCTGCTGTCCTGTCAATATCAAATCTTGTTTTGGCCGCAAGGATTCCCATAAAAAGGGTCTTTTGTTTTGGGGTGGTATTTGGGGGTTTTCATTTAAAAATAGCTAGAATATAACAAGATTGGCACCTAATGGTTTTCAATGTGTTGGAATATAGTGTTCATGTATTTTCTGCAACAACTACATCAGTATTCAGCAGAGGTATATTCTTCGGCCAGTAGATGGCAGTGTTCATAAGTTTGCAGCTGCATTTATGGTATTGTAAACTCTATGTCTTGTCACTGAATAAAAGCTTCCTGTTTCCTGTTTGCAGTGAAGCAGAAAAGTACATTTGGACTGTGCACTGTCTGCTCTGTAGAGCTACTGCATATACAGAATTTCTCACACAATGTGATTCATCTTTAGCTTCAGGTCTGGTGAATTTCAAACAAGATTCCCTAAACCCCATGGTGAATGGAACTCCTCCACAGAGTCTCTCCTAAACTAAGCATTGCTTCTAAGCCAGACTATGTTAACATAATGTTTAAAGTTATATGTACACATTATGATGAATCTTTACCACTTGCCCTCCAGAGGATTTACCCCCCTTCCTGACCAGGCCATTTTTTGCGATACGGTGCTGCGTTATTTTAACTGACAATTGCGCAGTCATGCATTGCTTCACCCAAATTAAATTTACGTCCTTTTTTCCCACAAATAGAGTTTTCTTTCAGTGGTATTTGATCACCTATGCATTTTTTATTTTTTGTGCTATAAACAAAAAAGACCAATAATTTTGAGAAAAAAAAACTATATTTTTGACTTTTTGCTATTAAACATGTCCAATGAAAAAATGTAAAATTAAAATTTCTTCATAAATTTAGGCCAAAATGTACTCTGCTATGTCTTTGCTAAAAAAAAAAATCCTAATATGTGTAAATTAATTGGTTTACATGAAAGTTATAGCAATTACAAATGGTAGTATAAATAATTTTTTTTTTACTAGTAATGACGGTGATAAGCGAATTATCAGGATTATCAGAATTAGCGGGACTGCGGCAGGAATTCTGACACTGGGGGGAACTGACTTGGTGTTACTGACATCCCCAATGACACCAATACAGTGATCAGTGCTAATATAAAGCACTGACACTGTACTAATGGCACTGGGAAAGAAGGGGTTAACATGTGAGGCGATCAAAGGGTTAACTCTGTGCTGTTTTACTATGAGGCTGTGTGCTGTGTTTCACTGTAAGCACACTGCTTTGTATGGCTCTGCTATGCAGAGCCATACAAAGCAGTGTGCAGGAGCTGACGGGAGAGATCTGTGTTGTTTATACACAGATCTCTCCCCCGTTGGAGATACTCGGTGATCATCAGGTGCCGGCAAGAAATCACCAGCCGGAACCCAGTGATTGACACCTAAAGCTGCAAATGGCAGCGTGTGCCCCATACCTGGAACTGCAAAATCATGTATATATACATGATTTTGCACACCCGCGCCGCCCTGTAGCAGTATTTCTGCTATAGGGCAGCACGGAAGTGCTTAAAAATGGACACAATAAAATGGTAACAAACATGTAGGTGGTGGTGGTCGTGGTGGTGAACATTCTCTGAGGTTGCTGAAGACTGCAATAAAGTTAGGCCAGTGAGGAAAAATCTTTGCTGATACCAATGACAGCTTTAGATATCTGACAAATAGTTTGGCTCCTCTGGCTGTTTCCCTATTCAGCACTTTGCTTTCTGTGCTCTTTAGAATCGCAGTAAACCATAGCTCGGGAACATCTGCAATCGTGCATGCTGTCAGTAACGTGAAAGCAATTAAGTATTATTAGTGCATAAAAATATCTTGCTTAAGCTGAGCACAGCACAGTCTGCGCTCGATTTGTGTTATAGAAATATATATGTGTGTAAAAGAAGTGTCTTGACTGGCTGACCCTTGGAATTGACCTGACCTTTAACCTCAGACTAACGCTTATCCCTTCCCCTCAACTGAATCCAAACTGGTATCTTAGCAATGATAGCAATGGCGACCCATGTATTCTCCCAGTACACGTTTCATTTAAAGTGGCTGTAAACCCTTACATATACTCGGTGAAGTGACAAGCCTCAAGTGATACACAGAGATGAAACAACTCCTACATAAGTTGTACCTGTACATCTGCAGTGTTCTCCTCTCCACATCTATTCAAAGTGCTGAATTTACAAAGCTTGTCTGAGAGTTCAGAAAAATGGGGGGGGTGGAGAGCTGAAATGACTTTAGAGCTCAGTGAGGAGACCCCTGAGAGCTGATTGGAGGCAAGAGACACACCTCCCTTCACACAGCTCGCACAGAGCTGAAGCTGTCAATCTGCTGGCGGTCCCTCCCGTGTCACCATTTTCTCTTGTTGACAGAAGTGATACATGTAGATAGCAGAGGAATGAAGCAGCAGACAGAAATGACACTTAGTGCTCTTAATTGAAACAAACACACACTATAGAGGAATATGCTTTGTTCATCTTTCAAGTCTGAGGTTTACAACCACTTTAACTCTGATACTGTTCAAAGCTCCTGTACCTTGCTGCATGCACGGACCCTTCCTACTCTTTCTTGCACACCCATATCCTAGGCTGTTGAATAAGAATGAAATAAGCAAACATGAGTTGCATTTTCAAAATACTTTTTGTGAAATGCTACAAAAAGGCCCCTTTCACATGAAGTGTCCAATCAGGTCTGCCTGTCAGTTTTTCAGACCTGACCTGATTGGACCCTCCATTCACCCCTATGGCCAGCTGATGTAAACGGACTTGTGCCTACAATCTGATCTAGTCCACTAAAAAAGAAAAAAGAAAAGAAAAGGAAGGGGATCTGTCCTCCTCTGTCTAGGCCAATCAGATTTTAGGGACCTGTCATCTGTCCCGCTCTGCTCTGATCATCGGGGGATCAGCAGACACATCTCCTGCTGATCTAAGCAGAGTGTAAGAAGGTCCTTTGTGCTCAAAATATGCTTCAGTGCAAATGTAGTACATTTTCTCTATTGGACCCTCAGAAGGAGAAGGCCTGGTCAGAACCAGCCTACTGTTCTGTAGATGTTTTTATTGACCCTATAGCAAGGACTGTAGCCTTTAGGCTAGGTTCACATATGTGTGGGTGGTACCGCTGTGGATCCACACAAAAATCTGTGCAGCCGCACCACCCACACAGATGAATGCGGACATGCGGGTGGGTGCCATTAATTCTTATGGCACGCTGCCCGCACTGGAAATAGCAATCGTACTGGGAACCGAGGTTCCCGTGCGGGCTGCGTTTTCAGAAGAAGTGCAGGAACTTCTTCCCTGCGTGTACCGGGGCACGGGAGTTCATTAAAATGAATGGGCTTTCGTACCTGCGCAAAATGCGGACCACAGGAACGTGGATATGTGAACCAGGGTTAAAGAAGAACTTTCACCTATTTTTTCAGTATTTTGTCCCCCAGGTACTTTATCCATACTACTATATATTTAGACAGGACACTGTCAATGCAGCTAACAAGATATTGTGAGGAAAAATAGCGAGCGCTCAAGATTCCAATGGAGTCAGCAGCACATGTAATATAAAGGAACCCCTTTTGATAATGTGCGTACGCACGAAACGTGTCAAGAAGGCAAACCCTTTTTGATAACGTGCGTGCACACAAAACGCGTCAAGGAGGAGCTGTACGCCATGATGTCACGCCGCCGGAGCCTCACGAAGGTCCAGCGGCCATCTTAGAAAGTGGCTGGTCAGTGTTATGCTTTGCAGCTCTGCTATTTTATTGCTTTTCTCCACGTGGATGACATATATGCTTTTACTGGAATAAATATTTAATTACTACATTATGGGCACCCTCTTTCTTGGCTCTGTATTGAGCTAATAACTTTCAGGATCCCATTTTTAGAACGGCTGCAGGGCAGCCCCAGGTCCAGAGGGCGGAGTCTCTTTCCATGCTGCACACCTGATCCATCTTAAAGGGGGCTTCTGGCAGATCTTACAATCATCATATTATTCTACTAATTGTGCATTTATTATGCGCATCTGGTGAGTGCACATTTTTTACCATATCCCCTGCACAATCTGAATAGAGTATTATCACATGAAATTCATCTGATATCACTTGGGCAACGGGATCTTTACGTAGCACCATTTTCTGACTGGTGTCAGATTTTCACCATTATATGAACTTTTTCTTCTGTTTATTGACTTTTGTAGTTGCACGTAATATATTGTGCTTTTTATCATAACGAAGGACTTTATACATTTTTTTGTATTTATTTATTTATTTCATAATGTTTATCACTAATTTTTTAGCGCTGCACTTATTGATTCTATAAGCTAACAAGATATTGCTGCATTTATAACCAGTGCTCATCTCTAGTTTCAAACACTTGCCCAAGACATGGGGTGACAAGAGTAATGCGGAGGAAGGGGGGCATGACAGCCTCCTACCCCACTGCATTTCTCTGCCATCGCTTGTCCCAGGCAAGTGTTTGAAGCCCAGACAAACATGAGTTATCAAGCAGCTGTCTTCTTGTTAGCTACTTTCTCAGCGCCAGGAGGAGGGGACTATGTGGACTATGTCCCCCGGAGTTCTTCTTTAATAACATGGTTCAGCGCCATGTAGCCTTTCTCCCTCAAAATCACTCAGAGGAGAGGTTCCCAGGGAGATAGAGAGAGGCTGCAGGATATTCCAAGAATCAAATCAAAACTGGCCGGCCCAGGTTTGGAATAGGAGCCATTAAAATAATAAGGAAAATATTGTAGCAGCTATAGGTATCTAATGACTAGGGCAGTCAGCTGCACAACATGACTGCCTTGGTTAAAATTAGAACCAGTATGCTGGTAGGCTGTATCTGTTGACTAGAAATAAATGCCAAATTTTCATATTTGTTTACCATAAAGATTCAAGTAAGAGAAAATACTATACCTCATTATTTCTCTGCCAACCTGAAAGTTACTGTTTATATCTTTTCTTTTTTCCACACTGAAGAAACCTCCTTATGTAACAGGCACGTTTATTGACCTGAAACACCTTATTGGATAATTATTGCTGACATATTATTCTCTATAGGGATTTTTTAACTGGTATATTATCTTAGTGCGCATTATCACTGAAATAGTGTATCAAGCCAGATATTATGACTGGTAGATTATCATTAATATATTACATTCTAGGGGGCAGTATCCTTCAGGCAAAGGTCTCACTGAATTACATATTACTATAAGTTTAGTATGCATTACACAAGAGTAACATTTCTGTTCTAAAGTATGATTATATACCTTTATGTATCATACTTCTCAAGGAAATGGTTCATAATGTAACACCCCCTTCAACACACACATCTTCCCCAAGGAGGAGGAAAAAAATATTTTGTTAAATCATTTTAGAACCAGGTTATTTTATGTTTATATCCTTTTGAAATTTATAATCTAGCAGCTGTTAACTGCACATACATTTTAGCCCAATTTTAAAAGCTCACAAAGCATAAAATGTGAAGTGTCCCATAACTTTGTCTAACATTGTACAGTGACACAGTGCCATCTGCAGTGCCTTCTCTGAACTGCAGCATCAATGTGCTAGTTATAGCGGAGCAGCAAAGCAATGATCACCCCTGTTTTTTTTACAGCTACAGTGTACACCTGGATAGGGGGGTGGGGGGGGGGTAATGCATAAAGAGTGTGCTATATGAACAAAATATTTTTTTCCATAGCAACTGATATGATTGCAATTGTCATTTCTAAAATCCAGGTTTGAAAATTAATTCCCCTTATGGCTTGTTCACTTGTACAGCTACTATTGCCCCCCTCTGAAAGAGGATCCATGGTGGCTTACTTTTAAGTAGACATTTGACAAGTGATGAGGGCTGGTTACCTGTTTTTAACCCTAAAAATGCAGTCCCAATTGTGTGTATTTCATGCAATCGCAGGGCATTTGAGATGTGGCCCCACATGAATGCAACATGTCATTTCATTTTTTCTGCAGCCATAAAGCAAAGCAGTTCAACCACTTGCTTTCACCATTGCCTAGCTGCCTGTGTTAGCGAGCCCTTAGGGGGTCAATTCAAAATAGTCTTAATGTGAAACACCTGTCAAAATCACATGATTGGATCTCCTCCAATCACAGAGTGCGCTCTGCTGCCTTAAAGGAGAAATGCGGGAATCCTGAAAAAAAAAATCTATACGAATTTATCTGTTACATCAACCGAAGCTGCAGCTGTCCTCCTGCTGGCTGTAAGCCTGAGAACTGCTCAATCATGTGACTAGAGATGAGCGAATCGAACTTGGCGAAGTGGAATTCGTTTTGAATATTAGGAAAAAATTCGATTCGCACCGAATCCGAAAATTAGCAAACTTCGGATGCACGAATCGAATTTTTCCCGATCGGCCGATTTTCATCCCTTCTACAGCCGGCAAAAAGTGTCCCTGCAGAGAGCTCCGCTATTTCTGACA